AAAAAAAAAAAAATCACAAGATTGCTTAATATGTATTATTCTCTAGGTCTGCTTTCCAAAGGACTGCATCCTATTTAATAGGTCCTCAACAGATTCTAAGCAAGTAGCTAAAAATGTTTTTGAAAATACATCTCATTTTAAATATCTAAGAAAGTTCTAACTATAGCAACACTTTAAGCAGTAAACAAAATTATATTTATGAATCATACCCCAGATCATTGTTATAATCAGTCAGGTTTTCCACATTAGTTCTAAGAGTACAGATTTACATTCCCCAGCTTGTCCATTAGGAAATCTTAATGTGGCTGGGCACTGGTGGCTCACGCCTGTAATCCTAGCTACTCAGGAGGCTGAGATCTGAGGATGAAGATTCAAAACCAACCCAGGTAGGAAAGTCAGTGAGACTCTAATCTCCAATAAACACCAGAAAACTGAAAGTGGTGCTGTGGCTCAAGAGGTAGAGAGCTCACCTTGAGCTAAAGAACTGAGGGACAACGCCCAGGCCCAGAGTTCAAGCCCCACGACCAACCCCCACCCCACCCCCCAAAAAAAGAAAAGAAATCTTAATGTGCTGGGCACCATTGGCTCACGCCTGTAATTCTAGCTACTCAGGAGGCTGAGATCTGAGGATCATGGTTCAAAGCTAGCCCAAGCAGGAAAGTCGGTGAGACTCTTATCTCACAGAAAATATGGAAGAAGCACTATGGCTCAAGTGGTAGAGCGCTCACCCTGAGTTGAAGAGCTCAGGGACAGTGCATAGGTCCACGACCAACAAATAAATAAATAATCTTAATGTAATTTCATACGAAACTTAAATCAAAATAAATAACCCAACTACACGGGTATTAAATGCTGAAAGCACTTACCTCCTGCAAATGATGCGGAAACTGCATAAAGTGACTGATGGAAGCCAAGTGCTGGCAATACTGAGGATAGTCCTTCAATCTGCCAGGACAAACAATTGGTTTTTGTCACTCATTGGTTTTGTAAAAACAGAAGATATTTTCCTCTCACACTAGTTGAAGAAGTTCCCAAATTCTATTCTATCCATAAATACCTAATTTGGCTGGGCGCAGGTGGCTCATGCCTGTAATCCTAGTTACTCAGGAGGCTGAGATATAAGGATCAAGGTTCAAAGTCAGCTCTGGCAGGAAAGTCCATGAGACTCTTATCTCCAATAAAGCACCAGAAACTGAGTGGTGCTGGGGCTCAAGTGGTACAGCTAGCCTTGAGCTGAAGAGCTCAAGGACAACGCCCACCAAAAACAAACAAACCACATACACATATACAATTTGAGTCAAAGGGCAGAACACAAGTACATAGTAATACTATACTAGAAAATACAAAGGTTAACACTTGCTTCTGAAATGATATATTTAAAATTAGATTAAAACAAGGGATAGGGATACATAGGTTAGTAGTAGAAATGTGCTTAGTGACCAGAAGAAAAAAAAAAAGGAAAAACAAGAACCACTAAAATGCTATCTATAATAACTCAATATCCAACAAAAAGTAGAAAAACAATGTGTAGTGAGTATAAACACTATAATATTCCTCACAATAAAAGAGAATACTAAAAATATGTAGTAACATGAATGAATCCCAAAACATAATGCTGAAAAGGTTGAACATGGGCTGGGAAGGTGGCTTCATGGTAGAGTGCTTGCCTCGAATGCATGAGGCCCTGGGTTCGATTTCTCAGCACCACATAAGCAGGAAAAAAAAGAAGCCAGAAGTGGCACTGTGGCTCAAGTGGTTAGGTGCTAGCCTTGAGCTAAAGAGCTGAGGGATAGCACCCAGGACCAGAGTTGAGTCCCCAAAACTAACCCTCGCCCACCCCCAAAAAGCTGAACATGGCGAAGCTTCATGAGACCTGCCTATAAGCCAGCTACACAGGAAAGGTAACAAGATGGTAGATAGAGGTCATCCAAGGACAAAAGTAACAGACTGTACCTGAAAATTGAACAAAAGCAAAAAGAGCTGGCTCAAATGATAAGAATGATAGCTTTCCCTCTGTACAGTATTTTTACAATAAAAATATTTTTTAAAGTCTAAAAAAAAAGAATGATAGCTTTGAGTCTATCATCAATTGGCATGGGGGGGTGCCTACAAAAAAAAAAACCCTACATCTATATATGGTATGATTCCATTTAACTGAAACTCAGGTCTGAACACTGGTGGCTCACTCCAGTAATCCTAGCTACTCAGGGCTTAAATCTGAAGATCAGGAAAATCCAGGAGAATCTTATCTCCAATTAACCACCAGAAACCAGGAAATGAAGCTGTGGCTCAAAGTGTTAGAACACTAGCCTTAAACAAAAGGGAGCCTAGGCTCTGAGTCAAGTCCCACAACTGATGAAAGGAAGAAGGGAGGAGAGAGAGATGGAGGGAGGGAGGGGAGGAGGGAGAGGGGAAAAGAGAGAGGAAGAAGGGGAGGGGGAGGGAGGAGGAGGGGGAGGGAGGGGGAGAGGGAGAAGACAGGAGAGAGGGACTCCTTGAGGGGCAATGAAAATTGCGGGATTTGTTAAAATTAAGTAACTACACATTAAAAGGTATGTAAAATATACAAAAGAAACAAAAATGTTAAGTCCCTGTCCCACTGGTTTTCCCACTACTTGTAATGAATAATAATTGTAATGAATTGTATGTTTTATTATATATGTATATATAAAGCCTGACATTCATTAGTTGATAAATAAGCCATTGTCCTTTATATATATATATATATATTTAAAGGGGGGTGTGGACTCATCTGGTCCAACCACTACTAAATATCCCCATGCTGCTGATCGCATGTATGGTGTATAACATGTGAACACCGTTATATGTTACAGACTGTGATAGACAATTTGCTCCAGGAAAGTTAAAATGAACTTGTGACTTTAAACGGGCATCATTATTCCACAATACTGTGAAATTCCAGAAATTATGTAATCACTTAATCACAATTAAAAAAAAAAAAAAGAACCTCGGGGAAGGTAGGGAGGGAGGGGATGGTAGGGGGAAAACAATGGAGGGGGTAACAATGTTCAAGAGGAAGTGTACATTACCTCACTCATGTAACTGTAACCCTCTGTATAGTATCTTTACAATATAAAAAAAAATCTTTATAAAAAAAAAAGGGGGGGTGTTGGGAATGTGGCTTAGTGGTAGAGTGCTTGCCTAGCATGCATGAAGCCTTCTATTCCTCGGTACATAAACAGAAAAGGCCAGAAATGGTGCTGTGGTTCAAGTGGTAGAGCATTAGCCTTGAGCAGAGGGAGGCTCAGGGACAGTGCCCAGGCCCTGAGTTCAAAAAAAATCCAGAACTAGTGAGTTGGAGGCAGGAGATCACAAATTCAAGACCAATCTAAGCCTCATAATGAGACACTTATTAGAAAGGGAAAAAGGAAGAGGAAGGAAAACTCACTTCATAAGAAGCCTATCTACTCACCTATTTTTAAATCTATCTAGTGCAGCAATCCCAAAATAATACATTTTGGATCCAAAAGGTTTCCGTAAGGCTTCAAGGACATATCTCAGGGCCAGACCCAGTGCCATGTAAGTGACTAGTCCTTTTTCTATTATGCCACCAAACAGGCAAGCTGTTATATGTAACTCTTTATCAGGGTACTGGGGGAAAAACCGATATTCTTCAAACAAGTTCCTTAGCATACAGTTAAATACTTCTCGTTCCCTTTTTATAGTTGAGTCTTTAAATCTCTGTAGCATTTCTAATACCTAGAAAAAAAAACAAAACACATACAAGCAACTATATATTAGTAAAACCTTCCAGAAATAGTTAATAGCAGACTTATTAAAGTATTTACCAATAAACAGTGCCAGAGATAATATTCTGAAAGAGCCAAAGAGCCAAGTATAAGGGCATACAACTAGAATCCCAACACTCAGGTCTGGGACAGAAGGTATGGCAAATTCTACAAGACTCCACCTCAAAAAAAAAAAAAACGAAAAAAACAGCAAAGATTTTTGAAAGGTACACAAACATATTGAAACATTTTGAGCTGAATTTCTAAACACTTTGTGAGTGAAAAGGCACACATTTAAGATTTACCCAACAGGGCTGGGAAGGTGGCTCAGTGGTAGAGCGCTTGCCTTGCATGCATGAGGCCCTGGGTTCGACTCCTCAGCACCACGCAAGCAAAAAGAAAAAAGCCAGAAGTGGTGCTGTGGCTCAAGTGGTAGAGCGCTAGCCTTAAGCTGAAGAGCTGAAGGACAGCGCCCAGGCCCAGAGTTCCGGCCCCACGACCGGACCCCCCCAAAAAAAAAAAAAAAAAGATTTACCCAACAATGAATAATTAGGAAACATAAATACTCACTTCATCAACAGACATGGTTGGATGTGGTGGATGATTATATATTCGCTGAAAATAGCTATTTGCTTCATCATCTATCTCTTTACTAAAGTGCTGATTTGCCTCTGGCCACACCTGAGATAAGTCGGCTATGGGAAACAAAGAGCAATCACTATGCAATTTAATTCCGTCTTCAACTCCCATAAAAAGAACCAGAGATCAGTATAATTTTAACTTCATAAGAGTAAACTGAAGATCTTAAGCATTAAATGGTCAAACTTCAATATTAAGGCTTTCCAGGAAAACAAAAGATTTTTGTGTATATGCCAATCCTAAGCCTTAATTAACTCTGGCTGGGCACTATCCTTGAGGGGTTTTTTTTGCTGAAGGCTAATGTTCTACTACTTGAGCCATAGCTCCACCTCCAGCTTTAGGGTAGGTCGTTAAAGGTAAAAGTCTCAATGGGATTTCCTGTCCAGGCTGGCTTTGAACTGCAATTCTTAAATCTCAGAATCCTAAGGATTATAGGCATGAGCCATGAGTGCCTGACCAGAAAATGTTTTTAATAAGTGCTGAACACCGACTGGAGGCCTGGCTCAAATGTAGAGCACCAGAAAGCTGAGTGAGAGCCCAAAGCACCAGTCAAGCCCCTATCAAAGGAAGAAGAAAAAAACAAAAAACAATGTCCAGGAAATAACTGCTGTACACAGTCCTATATTGTCTTTCACGAAGACCTATTATAATAAAGCTCACTACTCTCCAGCTCCTACCATGTTTAACCTTGAAAGAACCAATTCAGTTAACAAGTCTATACTGTTTTACAGTAAAAATCTCAGCTGGGTCCCAGTGGCTTATGCCTGTAATCCTAGCTATTCTGGAGGCTGAGATCTGAGGATCTGGGTTCAAAGCCAGCCTGGGCAGAAAAGTCCCTAAAAGATTGTTTATCCCGGCCTACCACTCAAAAACCGGAAGTGGAGTTGTAGCTCAAAGTGGTAGAGTGCTAGCCATGAAAAAAAAAGAGCGCAGGGACAGCACTCAGGCCTGAGTTCAAGCCCTATGAGCAACAAAAGAAAACAATCAAAAACAATAAAAATTTCATTTAGCTGTTAATGCATGTGCATAACAAACTGATAGAAACACAAAGCATGCTACAAAACGTAACATTCAGACAAGCCTTTCACACTTAACATTTTCAAGTCAGCTTGTATACTTTCAATCCTTTTCATTTGTTAGTTGAGAGACAGGGTCTCACCTAAGGAGCCCAGCCTCGCCAAGACTTGAAATCATCCTACCTATCACTAGGACTACAGGCTTGTGCCAATTTCAGCCAGATAATACTTTCAAACCACATTTGATAAATACTCAGTCCTGGGCTGGGAATGTAGCTTAGTGGTAGAGTGCCTTCCTTGCATATATTAAACTCTGGATTTGATTCCTCAGTACCACATAAACAGAAAAGGATGGAAGTGGCACTGTGGCTCAAGTGGTATATGTGATAGCTTTGAGCAAAAGAAGTTCAGGGACAGTGTCCAGGCCCTGAGTTGAAGCCCTATGGCATAAATAAACAAATAAATAAATAAATTCCGTCCCTAGGATAAAAAGACATACACATTAATTATTGCCTATGGATTTGACTTTGGTTAGTATTACACAAGAGGTGAAGCTTTTAAAAAGTTGCCACAAATTATTTCATTTAACACGCGGCAATAGTTATAAAACATGAAACTATATAACTATAATTTTAAATAATGTGTTACTGGGCTGGGAAGGTGGCTCAGTGGTAGGGTGCTTGGTTCACATGCATAAGGCCCTGGGTTCTATTCCTCAGCATCACATACACAGAAAAAGCCAGAAATGGCACTATGGCTCAAGTGGTAGAGCGTTAGCCTTGAACTGAAGTGCTGAGGGACAGACCCCAGGCCCTGAGTTCAAGCCCCATGACCAACAACAACAACAACAACAAAAACATTACTTTCTAAACTTAATTGAAATAAAGAGCCAACAATAAAAGAGCCAACACCAAGAAATTTAACAAACTAAAAATACTTTTGTTTTCCCACTAGTTCCTACTTTCTGGATGTTACCTCTTACTAACCATCACATGGTTGAGTATCAATCCAGAGCAAAGGTGGATTAAAAGCTCTATAGTTCTTAATTTTAATAATTCAGATTTATGATTTTATTCCTTCTATTGTAGAATACACATCAACATTTGACCCTTATAATATCTTAAATTTAATTAATGCTTCTGTCCATATAACTCAAAAGAAATCAGACACTCAGTAAAATTTATGTGTATCAGTCACACGTCACAATCACAGACAACACTACCACTTACAAGGTTTCATCTTACTCTGCTGGAATGTAGGCTGGTTGAGTCCAGAGGTGCCCAGTTTTCTCTGTACGAAGGGATCATTATTCACTGTAGGAAGTCCAAGAGCCCCAGTTCCTATACCAGTCAAGCTGCCTGTGCCAAGACCACCTACTAGAGAGAACAAAGGTAGCCAGAAGTTCCATCATTCCTTATATACTTAACTTCATTCATGGCACCAGGATATACCCTTAATAGTTACTGTCTCTTTGTTAAATGCCAATGGATACCCAGTAAATTTTCAAGAGAAGTTAAAAAATTTAGAGTAGATGCAAATTGATAATAGCAAAATTTTCTCAGCATTAATAATTTATTATTTCACTTGGGCCCTTACCTGCTGGGTAGGGGCTATATTACTAGAGCTAATCATCTAGGGCTTTTATAGTCTTGAATATGGAATTTAAAATATATATAAAAAAAACAAGCCCCTGGCTTGTTTATCACAATGACTAAAATTTAATTTCATTATTAACATTTTACACTTATTGTAAGTCTATGGTTCCTCTCAACTCTGGCCAAAAAGAGTCTTATAGTAGTAAGATTTATCCCAGGACACTAAATAACTATAGAAAAGCCTTGGTTTGAGTGGCATCAAGTCTAGAATCATGTTGGAGCAATATTAACTACATGACCAAGTCTTATCTACAGTCATACAATTTAATACCCCAACTTACAACATGAACATGGGTTAAGAAAAACAAAGAAATAAATCTTAAAATTAGCCCTTGTTAGCCAGGCACTGGTGACTCATGCTTATACTCCTCAGGAGGCTGAGATCTGAAGATCTAGGTTCAAAGTCAGGCAGGAAACTCCGTGAGATTCTTAGCTCCAATTAACCACCAGAAAACCGGAAGTGGCCCAGTGGCTCAAGCGATAAGAGAGCTCATCTTGAGTTGAAGAGATGAGGGACAGTGTCCAGACCCAGAGTTCAAGCCCCACAACCGACAAAAATAAATAAATAAATATGCCCTTGTTTCAATAAAGCCGCAAGCTAAGAAATATTTGGGGAGGACAGGACACTGAAAACGTTTTAAGGATATAATAACTTTCTGAGGGGCTGGTCCTGATGATTAAACTCAAGACCTGAACATTGTCTCTCTATCACTACAACCACAGTGCCACTTCTGGCTTTTTCTGCTTATGTGATGCTGAGGAATCGAACCCAGGGCCTCATGCATACAAGGCAAACACTCTACCACTGAACCACCTTCCCAGCTTTCTGGGTTTGTTTTTACTCAAGGATTGCAGTCTGCCACTTGAGCCACAGTTTTGTCTGAGTAGTTTATTGGAGATAAGTTTCATGAACTTTTCCTTCCTGGGCTGGCTTAGAACTGTGATCCTCAGATCTCAGCCTCCTGAGTACCTAGGATTTCCGGCATGAGCCACCAGTACCTGGCTTTAGTATTATTTTTGATGTGGGCAAAACAAAAAGCAGGCAGAACATCCATGCCTGAATTTGGTATATACAGTATTTTCAAGCTTAATTATATCCCCATAATGACTCATTAAACTGATCTTCCTTGTTTCTGGTGGCTCACACCTGTAATGTTAGCTACTCAGGAGCCTGAAACTGGAAGATCCAGTCTGGAAGCAGACTGGGCAGAAACATTGAGAAACTTCATCTCCAATTAAACAGCAAAATGTCAAAACAAAATTTATAGCTCAAGTGGTAAAGCACCAGGCATGAATAAGAGAACTGAGAGTACAAAGCTCTGATTTCAATCTCTGTACACACACACACACACACACACACACACACACTGAACTAAGCCTAATACATTATTAGCTTTGAGTCTATAGCTCAATGGCGAAACAAACACATGCATATAACACAAGAACATGACTTTATCCCCCATCTACAAAAATACCATGAAATGTTAAAAAAAAAAAAAGTGACCAATAAACAGGTAACACTATCATTTGACAATACAAAATCCTTACTAAACTACTCAACTATCTTTATAATGTTTAAATATCCTGTTTCTTTTTTTTTCTTTTTTTTGGGGGGGGTCTGGTAGTGGGGTCTGAACTCTGGGCCTGGGCGCTATCCCTCAGCTCTTCAGCTCAAGGCTAGCGCTCTACCACTTAAGCCATAGCATCACTTCCGGCTTTTTTTTTCTGCTTATGTGGTGCTGAGGAATCGAACCCAGGGCCTCATGCATGCAAGGCAAGCGCTCTACTACTGAGCCACCTTCTCAGCCCCCAAATATCCTGTTTCTATTAAATTAAATTGAATTTAACAATGGCACAGTTTTATCTCTTTCACATTTTCACTTAACTTTCCTTTATCACAATCACTCTAAAAAGAACAATGAAATTTACAAGTAAGCCATATTACTCCCCATTACCTGGAAGCTGTGATGAAAGTCCTCCAATACCACTGAATGCAGTTGTTTGATTTGGGGTTGAAAGAGGTGGAAATGCTTTTGCTGGTGATTGAGGGGTACTGAATGCAGAACCCAAATTTGGAGGAAAGCCCTGCATGCTCTGGGTGTGAGGAGCAGCTGAACCACCTATACTAAGAGATGCCATTCCAGCAAGGGGGTCAATCTAAAGAAAAACATTGTAAACAGATATTAAGACATGTTTCAAGGAAAGTCAGAGATGACACAATTCAAAGAAATCTTTAGCAGTATTTCTTCATATGCTTAAGAAGGAACCTCAACAAACAAAATATTTAATTCCCAATACCATTTCTGCTAGTCATTTTCAGGCTACATATAAATATAGGTTTAAGAATTAACCCATGTTGGGCTGGGAAGATGGCTCAGTGGTAGAGCGCTTGCTTTGCATGCCTGAGACCCTGGGTTCGATTCCTCAGCACCACATAAGCAAAAAGAAAAAGCAGGAAGTGGCGCTATGGCTCAAGTGGTAGAGTGCTAGCCTTGAGCTGAATTGCTGAGGGACAGCGCCCAGGCCCAGAGTTCAAGTCCCATGACCGGACCCAAAAAAAAAGAATTAACCCATGTCAAAAAGTATCAGAACCACAGATGAAGGAAAAAACAAAACAAAAAACAAAATCTATGCATAGTAATTTCCTGTCACCATAATGGCATGGGCAGATATTACACTGATTCATTGCAATTTCTAATAAAATAAAATCTTCTGAACTAAGTTATTTCTCAAAAAAAACTTTAAAAATTACAAATAAAGCCTCCAGTCAAAACATATATAGTCTGAATTTAAGAACCTTCAGGGTTTAAAGATCAGCTTTGACTTTTAAAACAAACTTAAAACACAGGTATGTTATTTACCAGATTATTTCTAAACAATCAAATGTATTTCCAAGCATCTTAGTTTGTGGCACTATTTCATATGCTCATAAATATAGAAAATGGCAAGCAAATGCCTTTTATAGACACTGAAGAATCACTAATCCTTATACCCCAATCTGCCCTTTAGTGCACTGGGTAACAGAAGTGGGGTATGTTGCTCCCAAAGAGAATGGGGTGGTCGGTGTCAGGGAGTAACTTAAATGTACCTTGTTTTTAAAAGAGCAGTTCAGTTGAGAGCTGAAGAGCCCCAGTTATAACAAGTCGTTATGCTCTAGTACTGTTGCTTGGCCCGTGAAGCTACAAACAAGACACATCAGATTCAAAGGCAGTGTTTATTTCTCAAGAGTGTAATTCTAATTTTAAAAAGAAACCTTTTTCATTTACCTAAATAAGTGGTTTCTATCTTTGTTCAAGATTCATGTTCTTTTTGATAATTAAACTCTATTTTTAACTATAATGCCAACTGATGAATTGCCTTTAAAATACAAGTGTATACTACACATGCAGGTATCTAAAATGTAATAAGCTTAGTTTATCAAAGATGATGCAGAAGCTTAGTCTATTCTGAGTCAATGAACAAATGCAGACATACCAATGGTAATATTCATTTTTACCTGAACAGGAGAAATGGCATCTAAGCTACTCGCACTAGGAGGTCGTCCTTTTGGCATAACTCCAGGTGGTGGCTGTCTGGCCTTATTCATAACATTACTACAATTGGCTACCATGGTGAGGATGGTCTCTGATAACTCCTGAGAAACACTCCTATAAAGAGAAAGAAAGTAGGCTAGAGGTGTCGTTCAAGTGGTAGAGATGCCTGGCATCTCTACCACTTGAATTCAAAACATAATTTATACATGTACAAGTAATACACATAAGGTTATATCCAAGTGTACACAAATGTATCAATAGAAGTATGGCATTTGCAGGGGAGAATTCAAACCATTTATTTCCTTAGAAAAACTAAATTATAGTCTAATAAAATGAATTCCAGGAAACTGGCACTTTAAATATGGGGGAAGATGGGGTAAAGTCAAGGGGAGATGGATAGAAGAAAGAGAGGAAGGGAGGAAGACAATGAAGTCATAATACTCAATGCATTTCCTATAAAACTAAGAAAACTGAGGGAAGAGGAGGGTTAGATGAGAGAGAATGATGAAAGGAATGGCATCAAGAAGCACTTAACTTATAAAACGATTTGCTGAATGTTAACTCCGTTGTGTAATTTTTATTCTGTGTATTTTGTATACTTTGTATTTTGTATATTTTTGTATATCTTATAAAAAATAAAAACATTAACTTTTAAAAGTTCAAAAACTGTTGAAATTATACTTGTCATATTCCCAGAATAGTTAATAAAACATATTATTTTCTATTAAAGAAAGCTTGCTGGAAACCATGGCTAAGTTTCTGTCTTATCTCACTCATCCTTTTCCATCTGTTACTCAATACTAGTATTTCTTGAACAGTGACATTATCTTCAATCTATCAAAAACTCTACCCAAACTAAGATATATTAGATCAAATTAAACAGGCTGGGTTTTTGTTTGTTTGTTTTATTTTGTTTTGTCAGTTGTGGGGCTTGAACTATGGGCCCAGGTTCTGTCTCTGAGCTCTTCAGTTCAAAGCTAGGACTCTTGTCTCTTGAGCCACAGCACCACTTCCAGTTTTCTAGTGGTTTATTGGAGAGCGTCTCACAGACTTTCCAGCCTGGGCTGGCTTTGAACTTAAATCCTCAGATCTCAGCCTCCTGAGTAGCTAGGATTACAGGCATGAGCCTAGGGCATCCAGCCTCAGGCTGGTAATTTTAACCCTAATGTATCACAGTCAAAGACAACATTACAGACTAAAAAAGCCAAGCCAGATGCCTGTGGCTCAGGCCTGTAATTCTAGCTACTCAGGAGACTGAGATCTGAGGATCACTGTTCAAAGCCAGCATGGCCAGGAAAGTCCATGAAACTCCAATAAACCACTAGGATATCAGAAGTGGCACTGTGACTCAAATGGTAGAGCGCCTGCCTTGAGCTGAAGAGTGCAGGGACAGTGCCCAAGCCCAGAGTTCAAGTCCCACAACCAACACACACACAAAAAAAAGAAGTCATGTACATAGTTAACTACCCAGAATTTGACAGAGTTAAAATTCCTCACTTAAAATACTAAGATAGCCAATGAGACTCAGACAACCCCCACCTTCCCAATAAATACCAACTAGAAAATGTCTTAAAATAGAATTAAGAGTGGGGCACAATGGTAGATGCCTATAATCCCAGATACTTAGGTAGCTGAGGCAGAACTAAAATGGATGGAAATGGAGGATATCATATAATGCAAGTCAAATCAAGGTCAATTAACAAGATATTGTGTATTTTTCCTTACATATGAAAAGTAGATCTTCAAAAGATACACAAATTCATGGCAACATACATGTATATATACCTGATTATATAATTAGAGATGAGATAAGCATAGAATGTGAGTCAAACTAAGGAACTACTTAGAAAAAGTAGGTGAAATAATTTAGAAATAATTTCAAATATGTATGGGGAAAAAACCATAAAGGAGCTTCAATGAAAACTACTAATCAGTAAGGGTACAGTGAATGGAAGAGAAACAATATCTATTGGCGGTTATTAGCCGCAGAAGGTGATAGAGCTAATACTAAGAAGGAGGGTGAAAGAATATGGTGAAGCAAATTGTTTCATACAGCAATGAAACCTGTTTGAAATTATTTTATGAAGGGGATAAAGGACAGTGATAAAAGAGGGTGATACTAATTGAAATACATTGCAAATGTGTGGAAATGTCACAATGAAATCCCCCTTTGACTTATATGCCATTTTAAAAAGTACAAAGAAAAATATCAATTCTTTTCACAAAACTTAATGCTTATATGAAGTCAATAGTACTCTAATATTACAACTAGACAAATACCAAAAAAAAACTCCACAAAAACAGAGCAATGTTCCTTAGGAATACAGACACACAAAAAAATATTAATTACAAGCAAAATAATCAAATTCAAGAAGACAATTTTCCTAGCATGTTCTTCTTACCCCGCACAAGCCTGTAGACAAGCCAACATTGTCGCCAGAGTTTCAGGAGGAAGTTGAGCACTCTTAGGCTGGTCTTTCTCTGGGGCAAGTCCACCCAAAATAGAAGGACATCTTCTCTTTAAGAAAGTCATGCATGCTTGAATAAAAGGCTCCTGGGGGAGGGGGGGGAAATGCTTTCAGCATACTAAAATTGATACTGTTTTCAGATTAAAGATAACAACTAAGCATTAAAACAAAAATGTAAGCCAGGAACTAGTGGATCATCCCTGTAATCCTAGCTGCTCAGGAGGCTGAGATTTGAGGATAGATTGAAGCCAGCCTGGGCAGGAAAGGCCATGAGACTCTATCTCCAATTAACCAGCAGAAAACTGGAAGTACAGCTGTGTCTCAAAGTGGTAGAGTACTAGCCTTGAGTACAAAAAGCTCAGGGACAGTCCTAGGCCCTGAGTTCAAGCTCCATGACCAACTGCCACCACCCCCAAAAATGTAGAAATCAACGACATTCATTCTAAATGGCGCATTTGCGCAGGAGGACAGGGGGGTGTTGAAGGGCTTGAATTCAGAGCCTGGGTGTTGTTCCCGAGCCTCTCTGTGCTCAAGGCTAGCACTCTACCACTTGAGCCACAGGGCCACTTTCAGTTTTCTGTGGTTAACTAGAGAAAAGAGACTCAGGGGCTTTCCTGTCAGTGATGGCTTAGAACCACAGCCAGAACCACGATCCTTAGATCTCAGCCTCCAGAGTAGCTAGGATTACAGGTATGAGCCCAGTATCTGATCTAAATCCCATCTTAAAAAGTTGTTTCTAGCCTGTGCCGGTGGCTCACACCTGTAATCCTAGCTACTCAGGAGGCTGAGATCTAAGGATCTGGTTCAAAGCCAACCTGGGCAGGAAAACTCGGGGAGACTCTTATATCCAATTTTTAAAAAAAAACACGGGCTGGGAAGGTGGCTCAGTGGTAGAGTGCTTGCCTTGCATGCCTGAGGCCCTGGGTTCGATTCCTCAGCACCACATAAGCAAAAAGAAAAAAGCTGGAAGTGGCGCTATGGCTCAAGAGCTGAGGGATAGCGCCCAGGCCCAGAGTTCAAGCCCCACGACCGGACCCAAAAAAAAAACACTAGAAAACCGGAAGTGTCACTATGGCTCAAGCAGAAGAGGGCTTGCCTTGAGCTGAAGAGCTGAGGGACAGCGCGCAGGCCCAGAGTTAAAGCCCCACAACCAACAAAAAACAAAACAAATAAAAAAACTGTTTCTTCCTATGTGCCCGTGATTCATATCTACTACTCAGGAGGCTAAGATCTGAGAATCTCGGTTTGAAGCCAGCCTTAGCTAGAAGTGGAGCTGTGGTTTGAGTGATAGAGGAATATAGTGCCTTTGAACTCAGGTATAGTGCCTAGACCCTGCGCTCAAGCCCCAGGATCTGTACTGAAACAAACAAACAAAAACTTTTTCTTGCCAGGCACCCCGTAGCTCACGCCTATAATCCTAGCTACTCTGGAGGCTGAGATCCAAGGACCATATTCAAAGCCAGCCTGGGCAGGAAAGTCCGCCCGGACAGGAAAGTCCATGAAACTCTTATCTCCAATAAACCACTAGAAAACTAGATGTGGTGCTGTGGCTCAAGCAGCAGAGCACTCACCTTGAGCTGAAGAGCACAGGGACAGCACCCAAGCCCTGAGTTCAAGCCCCATGACCAACAAAAACAAAAAAAAAACAAGGGCTGGGAAGGTAGCTCAGTGGTAAAGTGCTTGCCTTGCATGCATGAGGCCCTAGGTTCAATTCCTCATCACCACATGAGCAGAAAAAGTTCTAGGTGGAGCTGTGGCTCAATCGGTAAAGCACTAGCCTTGAGCTGAAGAGCTGAGGGACAGTGCCCAGGCCCACAGTTCAGGCCCCACAACCAAAAAAACAAAAACAAAAAACTTTCTTAGGGCTCAGATGTAGAATTCTTGCCCAGCATACAGTAGACTCCAAGTTTAATTCCTAGCATCACGGGGGGGGGGGGGGGGGGGGGGGCCGCCCTTACACACTTTAGTTATCAAAATTTTACAGCATGGAGGCAGTAGCTCATGTCTATAATCCTAGCTACTCAGGAGGTAGGCTGGGGTCTAAGGTTTGAAGCCAGCCAGGACAGGAAACTCTGTAAAGCTGTATCCCGAATTAACCACCTGAACATGGGGGAAGTGGAGCTGTGGCTCAAGTAGTAAAACACAAGACTTGGGAGAGGGTCCAGAAGCTGAGTTCAAGCCCCACCCTCTGGCATACACACTAGTGAGTGAATAAAAGATCAGAGGGGCTGGGAATATGACTTGGTGGTAGAGTGGTTGCCTAGCTTGCATGAAGCCCTGGGTTCAATTCCTCAGTACCACATAAACACAAAAAGCAGGAAGTGGTGCTGTGGCTCAAGTGGTAGATTGCTAGCCTTGAGCAAAAAGAAGCTCAGGGACAATGCCCAAGCCCTGAGTCCAAGCCCCAGGACTGGGAAGGAAAAAAAAAGGAAGTGGACCGGTGGCTCAAGTGGTAGCCTTGAGCTCAAAAGCTCAGGGACAGTACCCAGGTCGAGTTCAATTCCATGACCAGCACATAAATGAATGAATGAATGAATGTGAACTAAAAGGATATATCATGCTTCTGTTTTCTGTCAGGCACTGGTAACTCAAACTTACAATCCTAGCTACTCAAGAGGCTGAGATCTGAGGATCCAGGTTCAAATCCAACCTGAGCCATAGACTCTTATCCTCAATTAACCAGCAAAAAGGCAGAAGCTGAATTGTGTGGCTCAAGTGGTAGAATACAAGACTTGAACAAAAATTTAAGGAATAGTTCCCAGGCCTTGAGTACACACACACACACACACACACACACACACACACACACGTACACACAGACACACACAGACACACACACACACCCCTACCATATCATGCTTACCCCATGCTCTCTTATTTTATCTGTGAGCCATTTGTCAAGTTTGAGGTATTCACGACGTGAAGCAAGTGCAGCAAGGTCAATAACAAAGGCAAATGGAGTGCCATTTAGCAGCATTGACAAGGCCTAAAGAGAAAAAGGATACTAGAAATGTTAAGTCACAAGTAAATTACTATTTTCTATGGCCTATTATCTATTTCCTACTTTTCACAAACAAGTCTAGATAACATACTGCTACTATTTCCTTGACCATGATTATTTTTTTGAAGAAAGAGTCACAAGTTTGGGTTTGTATTTTTTTGGCAGTCCTGAGACTTGAACTCAAGGCCCTGGGCAGTGTCCCTGAGCTTCTTTTGCTCAAGGCTAGCACTCTACCACCTGAGCCACATAGCACCACTTCTGGCCTTTTCTGTTTATGTGGTACTGAGGAATTGAACCCAGGGATTCATATATGCTAGGCAAGCACTCTACTACTAAATCACATTTCCAGCCCAGGTCACAACTTGATAAACAGCTTAATACATTCTATATTTAAATTATTCCTAATTTAAAATAAATTCACACACCGTCAGCTCATTTAACTCTTTAAGTACTGGTGCCTTTTCAAATTAACTAAACCTATAATAAAGCATGACTCAAAGCATAAAGTTCATTATCCATTTTCTTAAAATCTAAATGTGTAAACCAAATGCAACTAGTGGTGACATCCATTCAGATTAATATTCTAATAAATGCAGAGATGCATCTTACTTTCTCCAAAATTATATTACTATTAAATAACGCATAATAAAAGTGTATTCATCATTTCACTTCCTTTAAAAGCCTTGCCAGAGTTGGGAGTGTAACTCAGTGGCAGAGTATTTGCCCAGAACATTCAAGTCCTCAGGTTTCATTACTCAACATCTACATCGTAGTTATATCATATATCTTACACAAAACAAAAAGCAGTTAAAAAAGAAAAAAGAAAAGCCAGGCTTTAATACACAAGATAAACCAGAAATAAATCTAACATAAAGGCAGACTTTTTTTAAAAATATATCTAAAGGGGCTGGGAAGGTGGCTCAGTGGTAGAGCGCTTGCCTTGCATGCCTGAGGCCCTGGGTTCAATTCCTCAGCACCATATAAGCAAAAAGAAAAAAGCCGGAAGTGG